AAATTAAGAGGTTAATTTATAATATACAAAGGGAGAGTGATGTAAAGTTTTTAAAACATAGAGGAGGTTTGTATAGATTTTTTAAAATATAAGGGTGTGAGGATAATTTCAGAAAACTTTATAAAGTGTTAACACTAACGTTAGTGTGACTATTCTTTACAAATTTTTTATGTTATTTATAACTTTTTTATTTTTTTAATTAATAATTAATTCAAAAATATTTAATAAAAATTATTTATTGAATATATTTAATGATAATTTGTTTAATATATATATATATATATATATATATATATTTTTAAATAAAAAATAATTTATGTGAATTATTTTTAAAGATGTTTTAATTTTTTTGTTTATAATTACAAAATACTGAATAATAACATAATCGAAGATAGATATATTATTCCATTTAAAGATATTTTGATAAATCGCGAACAAAATATAAAATGATTTTCAAAATTTGACTTAAAGAGTGGTTTCCATCAAGTTAAAATGGATCCGACTCAGTAAAATGAATAACATTTTCCTATTTAGAAGGATTATATCAATGACATGAGATACCTTTTGGTCTTAAAAATACACTTGCCATTTTTCAAAGAAAAATATATAACATTTTTAAAGATTTTAAATCCTTCACTTGCTAGACCATACATTATGTAACTTAATTTTTTTTCTTCTAATTTATTTAATTTCTAAAAAAATGGGATAATTATTTTTTAAATATTATTTCTTTATGACAATAAACTTTAAAATTGGTCATGCGTGAATAAATATGTATAGATAGTATATCGAACATGTTCATACATATACATTCATAATCATAATACATTATTTTTCAAAATAATTAATCCAACAAGGATAGTACTGTAATTACTTAAAGTGTGTACCCTTAAACGATTAGAACTTAATTTAAATTTATACATCTTAAAATAAAGCAAATCCTAATCACAACAAGTATCCAAAATTCCTAACTTTCTTATACAAGATCATGCACATCCCGGAGGGCAACATTCTTCCATGCATATGTATATGATACTCAGTCAAACTGTGGTTCCTCCACCACAATTGTTCCATCATTACCTGAAATATAACAGTAAGGATGAGTTTCCTTTTCTCATCACTCCAGAACACTACACCGAAAATTTTTCAACCTCCGCAATCTAAAACCATATGTAACATTTATAGTCAAACATTTCATTTTTACAATAAAGTATCCCATACAGAAATTTCAAACAATTTCCACAAATCACATTACTCAAACTAAAAAACACACAATACATGTTTATGTTTCATTCGTTCATTTTTGCCACATTTGAAATGATCCTGCACCTATGATACACTATCAATCACATCTTTCAATCCATGAAAGGATCACACATAAGTACAGACAACTCTCACAAGCATAACAAAATTAAACACGAGCATAAATGGCTCACAGAAGTATAGATAGTTGCCGGTTGATCTGCGCATCACAGATACAATGCTTACGCATAACGATCCCTTGACAAAAAGGCAAAGTCAAAGAGGCAAGTCGGGAGTATAGAGCGTGGTCAAACAATGCACTCTATATTTCCCCAAGATCACTCTGATCTTCTCTTATCTCCTAAGCCCCCGGTGTATCTCCGTACCATCTACACACATATCTCGTCGCTGAGTGACACCACCAACTCTTTAACAACAATATATTTGATAGGAACAAACTTTACATCATACATACCATATCACTATAGATATAATACCGTATTATGAATGCATTACCTATTCATAACGTTTCTTTATACCATTCTTATTAAGCTTTATTTATTTTTCATCAATTTCAAAAATTTGACAGAGTCTCCTTTGTAATTTGAACGTTTCCCAATTTACAAATACATTCAAATCAAATTCATATAACACATTTTCCTGCATCAAACAAGAACAATATAAATTTGCTGAGGGTCGGACACTCTCGGACTCGGAACACATTATGATCCATCAAATTTTTTTTAAACTCTTGTTATTCTAATCTTGTGTCCCAAAATATCTAATTGCACTATCATTCTCACATCATATATACTCATAAAATAAATAATAGGTCTAGAACTAAAGTTTTGTTTACACTTCTTTAGGAAGAAAAATCTATCATAAGCATTGGAAAAGTGTAACTTTGGAAAAATTCTTTGCCATCTAAACTAACTCCAAATTCTATGAAATTTTCCAGTCCAAAATACATATATTCTAGGATTATAATAAAAATTATAACTCAAAATTTAAATATTTCTAAGTCATTCAAAACTTTCCTCCCTTTTCATACGTTTTGAAGATTCCACTATCAGGGCATTACTCAAAGATATATTTTTATAAAATAAAATAATGGTCATAAAATTATGAAAATAAATATACTTAACATATACCTACAACCACAACTATGATAAAAATTTCATCTCAAAAAACATCAATTTCGATTTTATATGATTTTTCAAAGTTTCTGAGCGGACATAGTAATTCTGTTTCACCCAACTCAAAACCTATTTACTTCCAAGATTTTTAATCGAAAATCAACTTGTCCGAAAATTTTAAAATAAATCACATACGAACTAAACATATAAAGAAACATGTAATAAAAATTTCAGAATTAAATACCAAGTAAATATTTTTACATAATTTCTCAAAGATTTTGTTCACATGCAGATTTTTTTTCCCAGCAACATCTCTCCACACATATTTCATCATCTTCCTCTATAAAAATCCAATTTAATTGATTTTTATGGCTAACTCTAGGTTTTAGCATCCAATGAATCCATTTCTAAACTCTAAAATATGAAAGGAGCATTGTAGAGTATCCAAATATATTAGAACAACCATACAAATTTTTTATAAAATATTCTAATTTGGTTCCAATTCATGTAGAAGTGAGATAAATGGTGGTTTAGCCTAGGGTTGATGACAAGAAGACCCTCTTTATCTCAAATGAAGCTTTCAAACAAGAAAATGGAGATCCTTAATTCAAGAAAGGGTTTGTCTCCTATAAGCATCAAAATAACCATATACTTGAGATTAAGAAGATTTTAGAAGATAATGTTGAAATTCAATGTTTTTATTTCATGAATCTTACTCTTAATTGCAAAAAGGATGAATCAAGATGGTGTGGGCAAGCAAAACCAAACTTTTCTTCTTCCTCGATACTCCAAAAATGGCTTCGGTAAGTGAGAAAGAAAATTGATCTTTTTCTTCTTTAAATTTGACTTCCTTTCCAAAATTACCCTCACTTACTTTTGCATTTACCAATTAAATCTTTTCATCAATGAGAAATTATATTACTAATTTTGCTTAATGATATTACTCTTATTATTATTATTACTTCATTTTAAATTAAATTATAAATTTATCTATTTCACTCTATTACAATTTTCATAATATGTATATTATTTATTAATCTCTTAAAAAATTATCAAATCTTAAAATAACTCATAATACCATTTTATTAAAGTTAATGACAAAATATTTTATTATATTAATGAAATATTTTTGGGAAATACTGGATGCTACACATTATACAAATTATGCATGAATTTTAAAATTATTTACGAAAATAACTTTAATTTTGGAGGAAAAATATTAATATAAGTTTTCTTATTTATTTCATGAAAATAATTTTGACGAATAGGAATGATTGACAATTAATTAAGACTATTTTTTTTAATACACAACTTAATATATATATATATATATATATAATTATACTTAAAAAAATTAATCCGCCTTTAATCAAAATTTCAAAATAATTAATATATTACTTTTTAACAATAGTATAAAGCTTCAAACTTTAAAATAAATATAAATCTTTTTACACTAATGTTAAGATAATTGAATTCAAATTTATTTTCTATTAAAATTCTGGAAACTTTTCATCGACATTGATAATATAGATTATAATATAATATTTTTTAAATATATCTTTATTATTTTTATTCATTTACAATACTCAATATTTTTATTCATCGACATCAAGTGATTATTAGAAAATTTATCTGTGTGCCGAATTATTTTTTTTTTCCTGTTTTGGTTATTTGAAAAGGAATTGAGAAGTATATTTAAAAATTTGATGACTAAAATATTCGCATAATTTGTATGCTAGATTAATGATATTTTATTTTTAAAAGTGTTATTTTATATTTCAATTTTTAAATATTAATGTTTCATTGTTTTTAATTTTTTATTTTACTAGTTTATTTAATTATATATATAAATAACATTAGTTTTGAAAGAAACGTTTTTACCTCAAATTTTATTTCTTTTATATATACCATTGTTATTCATTCTGTGTGTGTATATAATTAATTAATTAAAATGAAAACCAATTAAAATAATTATATAAAATTTCTAAGTCGTATAAAACAGACGTTAAGAACTGGAAATATAGTTGATTAAATAATAAATTAAAAATATTTTGTTTACAGAAATCACACCACTAATTGATATATAATTTTAAAAAAATGTTTTCTCCTAATTAATGCAACTGTATCTGACCTTAAATAAATGCAGCGTAGATTGAAAATAAATAATTAAAATTATGAACCTGACGTGAATCGAACACGCAACCTTCTGATCTGGAGTCAGACGCGCTACCATTGCGCCACAGATCCAACTTTGAACTTAAAACTTAATATTAAGTTAATTAAATAAAATAAATACTATAACTAGTATAGAAGATATTTTGGAAGATACAGAAACTGGGAGAGACACATTTCTTTGTCTCTATTAACTTTTTTTTATCCTTAAATATATTTGTATTTAATTAAAAACAAAGTTTCCATTTTGTCCATGTATAACTAACATAATTATTTCATTAATATCATTAATTACGAGCATAAAGATTAAAAGAAATACATAACAATCAATGAATTGAGTTCCATCGTAAATGGACTCAAGCAATTTTTTTCTTTTTGGCTTACAAAAGAATAGCTTATTCCTAAAAGATATGGCAAAAATATGAAGTTGGAACAGAAATTCCATGTACATTAGCATTGATGGTGAAGTCTAGAGAGGACAAAAATGCATGCTGAGGATGTGAGAACTGAAGCAGCAAAGCAAGCAAGATCAAGTCCTGTGACTAAGGGAATGTCCTTGAACTTGTCTAACACTCCCACTTGAAGTATCATCATCACTGCATGCCCAATCTTCGATTTTGCCTGCCCAATTGATTCCATCCCTAACCACCCTGGGGGTGTCTGAAAATTTATTACACCAACAATCTTCATCAATCAATGTCTTAGGTTATATATATGTTTTATAGTTTTTCATTAAGACAATAATGTTCCAACACTACCTTCATATAAAAAAGACCAAGCAAGTTTGATTCTGTTTCTCTGATAGTACTGCTTGGTCCCACAAACATCACGTACATACCCACCCCAAATATCAGCAATGCAGTTCCCATCATAAACGCGTCTGCACCAAAACATTATCCAACACCTTCAATTAGTTTTATCAGATCATAGCATAACATGCAAGAAATATACTTCTGATGTCGTGAAATTTTCATAAAGAATAGAATATTTACGATGTTCATAGTTGTTGACAAACCTATGGCTTCGATGAGTAGATGCACCAGATGTGTACTTTGGTCCAACCTTTGAGATAATATATGGAAATAATGCGCGTATGACTCCATAACAAGAAGGCAGCCCTGTAATATTTACGAAGCCATGCATGCGCATTTGTTCATAAAAGTTTCTTTCTTGTCTTCAAAATAACAAAAACAAAAGGGAAAAGAAGACATTCAACAAAGCTTCATAGATACCTCAACAAAACACAATACTGAACCAAGTAAAGATCCTGCAACAGCGAACAACGTAAAGAATCTGCAATCGATTATTGCCTGCACCAGAGAAACAGTATTAATCACTTATCTTGTGTAGGCACTGAACCTTTCCAAAGGCACACCCATGCGCAACATAATCGTCTTTGATAACAGCCCATTTACACATATGTCTCTTCACATATAACAGAATAAAAACATTGGACTTCATGCAACTAGATCACACATATACCATATAGCATAACCAACAATTTTGCTGCCCTATTAAAACTGTAATACATCATTGGTCATATTTGTTACTATTTGTAAGGATGTTGTGTATATGTATTTCTAATATATCATATGAATATATTTTTATTCATGTATTCTATGTATATATAGAGTAAAAATATTACAAAATATTAAATATTCATAATATCTCAATCATAACTGCCTAGATCAAAATAATAACCTAATAACTTTTTACCTTCTCTCTTAAAAGATAATAAAATATCTTAATACCTATTTTAAATAAAAGATAATAAAGTAATATTCTCAATATTCCTCCTTGTTTTAATATCTATTTATTTGAATTTAATATTTTTTCTTTTATTTTGTTTATAATGTTTTCTCCTCTTTTGTTTGTACTTCTTGTCATTTTCCTTTTTATATAAGATCACATCTTCATTCTTCACTTTTTTCATTAACATATTTCTTCGTTTATCAAATTTATCCCATTTGTTTATTTCAAACTTCATGGTAGTACGGTTGACTCTTTGATAGACATTGAAAACGGTTTCTTCATCTACATCTTTATTTTCCTCCTTAACATCAAGTTTCTTCAAGAAATCTTCTTTATGTTTTTTCTTTGACTTTTCTTTTATATCTTCAATTGTAATCAACTCTTCTTTCATCAAATCTAAAGGAAAACTTTGTCCTTTCATGTGAACTTTGAATATTTTCAAGTTATTTGTATCTTTAATCACACAAAGTTTGTGGTCAAAAGACACCTTATAAATTTTCTCCAATAATTGAGCAACACTTAACAAATTATGATTAATATCAGGAACATATAAAATATCAAAAATTAATTTGGTACCTGTCGCCGCCGTAAAAAACGAGGCGGTCGGAGCGACGCGATGGTTTTATCGACCCTCTTGTTTTCGCGTTTTTATTGGTGGTTACAACGTCCTTAGGTTGTCCGATAACCGGGCTAACCTAAAGACGAGGTTTTCGAAAGGTGTCCTTGAGCTGTCCGACAACCGGGCTAACCCAAGGATTTATTTATTTTGGGTTCTATGGAGTCGCCACCGATATTTTTACCATAAACATCGGAAAAGGGGTTTTAAAAAAGGCGTTGGTTTTCGAAAACCAACTTTGGTCATTAGAACCAGAGTTGGGTAAGGGAGTTGGTTACGTGCAAAGGGAGTATTAGTCCCTTTGCGACGCCCCTTTCGGGTTCCCTATGATAGGCCGACTTATTTTTATTGATAAACTAGAAAAACACACTTTTGCCCTTTTTATTCTGCGAAATTTAAAAGTATGACTACATGGCCCTAATGTCTACTGCATAATTTAAGATAAAAGCGGTAAAGGTGGAAAGAGAGAATTTGAACCTCCAAAGCACGCTTTTTATATTAATTCTCTGGAAAAATAGGGTGCTTTATGGCAGCCCTTCACTCTACAAGACGTCGGAAACCTCTCGAACGCCGAAAATCACTCTTGAAAACACTCAGAAACTCCGGAAATGCGTCGGAGGGATTCTAGAGAGAAGTTTTAGAGAGAAGGGAGAGCTATTCAGCTGTGGTGTGTGGAAATGAGGGGGGGAGAGCCCCTATTTATAGGTTTCCGCGTTGTCAGGTGGCGAGACCGCCGGTCTCGTCTGACAGCAACGAGACCGCCGTCTCGTACAACGAGACCGCCGTCTCGTTTAACATAAGCAACGAGACCGCCGTCTCGTACAACGAGACCGCCGTCTCGTTTAACATGAGCAACGAGACCGCCGTCTCGTACAACGAGACCGCCGTCTCATTTTCGCTGGTAACTTGACCCCGGTCTGGGTGAACGAGACCCCGGTCTCGTTTTCGTAGTCAACGAGACCCCGGTCTTGTTGGAGCATCCGTCGCTCAAGCGAGTATACCAGTCGCTTGAGCGAGACTTGACCCGGGAGTCCCCTTTGTTTGCGGCACCTGTCGCTCAAGCGACGGACGTACTCGCTTGAGCGAGACTTGACCCGGAGTCCCCTTCAACGCGAGAAACTTTATTTTGGGCCAAAAAACCCTCCTATCTTGGTATGGGAGCCTAATAGTCTCTCCTAGTGGCTTGTTAGGCTCCGCCGTCTTCGAATAGGGGACCTTCGACTTTATTTGGAGGCCGGGCAAGATTTGGGGTCTACAGCTGCCCCCTTTACTCGACTAGTCAACTGTTGGCCTATTATGCCGGACAGTTGACGGGAAGGTAAAGGAGTTGACCCTCTTGCCGGTTACCCTTCGGATATCCCGTCTTGTGGCGGATGATCCTCCGGGAAATGTTGTGGTCGCGTGCCTCCGAGATACTACTTCGACGTAGCCGATCCCTTTGGTGAACACGTGGTAGAACCTCCGGATACAACTTCGACGTAGCCGATCCTTCGGTTGATGAGTATAAACCCCCATCGAGTCGGTAGTTGCGATCCGTTGTGCGGGACTCGGATGGATACGAGCCCCCATCGGGCGGTGGGTACAACCCATTGTGTGGGACTGGATGGGTATGAACCCCCCATCGGGGTGGTACGGTCCGTTGTGCGGGACCGGATGGGTATGAACCCCCATCGGGGTGGTACGGTCCGTTGTATGGGACCGGATGGGTATGAGCCCCCCATCGGGGTGGTAATGCGACTTACGATCGGCTCGGGCGCAGATCAGCGCAGCTCTCCGGAGAGTCTTTGCTTGTGTAGATTTGATCGCTTTTCGATTTCTTGAATAGTCATCCGGGCCATGCCGGGATTTTGTTGGTGATCAATCGGCCTTTGCTGATTCTTGGGGTCCTTTGTTTTTGTTCTTTTGGTAGTGATCTTCCAATCCCGGCTGGTTGGTTGGATGGATCTTGGTTTTGTTTAGCTCTTGTTCGATTAAAGCTTTATTGGTTGGTGCAACGGTTTTAACCCTGCCTTTTTCCTACGGTTTTGGATTTTTGCTTTTTCCTGAGCGCATGCCTTTTTCCTTTTTAAGCTTCTTTTGTTGCGCCGGCTTTTGTAACGGAGGCAAAAGATCGACGAAATCATATTGGGATACCTTTGGTCGTTTTTCATGAATGCAAGCATGAGGCTAAATTCTTTCTATAGTATTTTTGTTTGTTTTACTCTTTGACAAAGTCATTTTTGTGTGACTACTTGTGTGTGGATGCCCTAAATGCAGTTCCATTTGAGGACATTTAGAAAGTGATCGGTGCTTTCCTTCTTTTTGTTTTCTCGTGATTATTCTTTTTGCACTTTTTGTTTTAACCCTATCTTTTGCCTAGACCGCCCTTTGCGGGTTTTCGATCTAGCGGGTTTTAATTCTTTCCGTGAGGCATTTTGATGAGCTTTTTCCTTTTTATAAAAGCCTTATCTTTTGCCTAGACCGCCCTTTGCGGGTTTTCGATCTAGCAGGCTACCCCGTGCTTTTTACTTGGGACGACCCTGGTTGGTGATGTGCGTATTTTATTTTTATGCTTTCTCCAATTGCTTATTTTATGCATGCTCATATTTCGTTAATACAGAGACATTTACGCAAGTAGGTAAGGAGAAGAAAAGACAATTTTATTGATATAACGATATGGTTTATTTTTACATGGAGGTTTACAAGAGAATTTGTAAGCATGGCTGGCCGGGGTTGGCTAAAGCTGTATGAGGGTACCACAATCATGTTTGTGATTTTTGCTTCCCCATTCTTCCTGGTCACTTCGGTTGAGATGCTCGAGCCGGAGTGAAGACTATGCGAAGTTTGCTTGTTGTTGCGAAGTATTACCTTAGTCGCCTTTGCGGTTTTCGACTAAGGTAACCATTGCTCTCTTTTTCTTCTTCTTTTTTTTTTTTTTTTTTTCGTGTGTGCCTCTACTTTTTGCCTAGGACGTATCCTAGTGAGGTATATAGGCCCTATCTTTTGCCCGGGACACTCTTTGCGAGTTTTCATCCTGACGGGTCATGAGCAATGCCTTTTTTTTTTTAAGCGTAATATTTTTTCACCGCATCCGAGTTGATAGGATATCGGAGCTCTTCTCCGTCCATATTGGTGAGGATAAGGGCTCCCCCGAGAAGGCTCGCTTGACCACAAAGGGTCCTTCATAGTTGGCTGCCCATTTCCCGATTTTGTCTTTACGTGTCTGGGAGTAGTTTCTTAACCACTAAATCTCCCTCTTGGAAGGTACGGGGATTAACTTTCTTGTCGTAGGCTTTCTTGATCTTTCTTTGGTAAGCTTGCCCCAGGCATATGGCGTCTAGTCTTTTTCTTCAATTAGGTTCAACTGATCATACCGGTTCCGGGCCCATTCGAGCTTCGTTAATTTGGCTTCCATGACAATCCGCAGAGAGGGTATTTCGACTTCTATTGGTAGCACGGCCTCCATTCCGTATACGAGGGAAAACGGGGTAGCCCCTGTGGAGGTTCTAACCGATGTTCCGTAGCCGTGTAGGGCAAAGGGAAGCATCTCATGCCAATCCTTATAAGTGACCACCATTTTCCGGATAATTTTCTTGATATTTTTGTTGGTCTGCCTCTCTTGCACCGTTCATCTTTGGTCGGTACGGAGAGGAATTGTGGTGTTGGATTTTGAAGTCTTGGCATAATTCCTCCATCATTTTATTGTTGAGGTTGGTCCCATTATCGGTAATGAGCTTATGAGGAATGCTCGTACCGACATATAATGTTTTTCTTGATGAAGGTGGTCACCACTTTCCGGGTTACGTGTGCATATGATGCTTGCTTCAACCCACTTGGTGAAATAGTCGATTGCCACCAATATGAAGCGATGGCCATTAGATGCTTTGGGTTCGATGGGTCAGATGACATCCATGCCCCACATAGAAAATGGCCATGGTGTAGTCGAGTTACTGAGAGGTGCGGGCGGCACATGAATGTTATCGGCGTAAACTTGGCACTTATAACATTTCTTGGCGTATTGGTGACAATCGG